TGTTTATATCTAACCCAACTGTCTCCCCATTTCTCTCTCTCTCTCTCTCTCTCTCTCTCTCTCTCTCTCTCTCTCTCTCTCTCTCTGATTGTGTGTTTGTGTGTGTGTGTGTTTGTGTGTGTGTGTGTGTGTGTGTGTGTGTGTGTGTGTGTACCTCTCCCACCCTCCCCAATCCACCCCACCCCAACTGTAAATTAGTGTAAACTGCAAAGACACTCAAAAACGTTAATAAACGTTATTCAAGCTGATAATCTAGAATGTTTTAAACATTAAATAACCAGTGTTACATCCAAACAAGTATAGGTAATGACATCGTAAATAGCACTTATCTTGTATTTTAATTTAGGTGTTTACGCCCCCCTTCAACTCAATTTAGACCATTATTGAGGCGGACACTTTATCCCACAAAGTGAATAATATTGTCGATCTAGCAGAAAGCAACAGTGGTGTGATGCGTTGACAGTGTTAGATAAAAAGACAAGATTGTCGATGATGATCAATGTGGACTTAGTGTAGGTATTGATAATCATATCTTTGAGGCCACATAATATTATCTATTTCATTCTATAAATACAAACAAAGGCAAATCAAATAGGCAAAGAGATGGACTGCAAAAATGGGATGTCGACTAGAAGTTACCTTCGTTAACTTAGAAAACCTAGTTTACCCAATGTTCAGGAAGCTAGTGACGCCTTATTTTTATTCTGAATACAAAAAACTTCTCCAGTGATGAGCATGATGTCAAAGGTCTTTCGAAAGTGCGCTCTGTACGATTTCTTTCAAACAACGTAGGTGGTCTAATGAATGGGCTCTTTGTTAGCATACACAAAGACTTTAATTTGATTCTTGCACCGAATAGATCTAGCCTTTTTATTATTCCTTTCTTCTTCTGCGTTCATTAATGGTGCCTACCGCTGGCCTGAATTTATTCAAACACCGAAAGGTTTGTTCGAAACAACCAACCTCCTAAACGATGAAAAAGTGCGTCAGTGATGGTATTTTAGTTCTTAGTTTTAGCTTGAGTTTTTTGCACTAGAAGCACAAATAGTTCATATCAGTGGTGAAGGTTTCAGGTATTACGAGAAAGTAGTACCATATAAGAAGAGAGAGAGGAGAGATACCCGCGATAGACGTTTGGTTGGAAAGAAGGAACAAACCACCCCAGGGCATCTGCCAACCACTCTTGGTGAAGGTGTGGTTATTCATAATTTACGTGACTATCGGCAGTTTAGTACAGAAGTGTTCAAACATCACAAGCAGAGAAAGCAGAGTGTCACGACGTGGTGAATTTTTGGGCATGTGCAGTTATTGGTATCGTTCGTTTGCCTTGCTTTCCGTGAAAAAATAAATACTCATGTATCTTGAATACAAGTATATACGAGATATTCGCAATTGAAGCAGGTAAAGGTCACCTGGTTTCAGAGTCAAATAAGCTAGAAAATGGCCACCAAAGTTTAGTACAGTGGAAACCTGATATAACAGGGATGGTGGGAGTAGAGAAAATGTCCTGTTATATCCGATCCCTGTTAAATCAGAAATGCAAGGAAAGTAAGAATTTGTGGACGAATCCAGCTGTACTTATTCATGGGTAGTTTCCTTTGCCACAAGTACTCACGAACAGGGGTTTTGGCACCAACATTCTCCATAGCCTCACATCAGAAGAGCTTGGTCCACAGCATCTGCATCGGGTAGTCTCATCTTCTTTCGGTGTGAATCGACCCTTGTGGAATGTCGAAATGACGACAAATCTCTGCCAGTGGAGCTTGCTTTTCGTCAACAGCCTGGATTATTTCGTATTTTTTTGTTAATTGAAAGGCATTTTCTCGTGCACTTGACATCGTTGGTGACACATTACGCGTGTGTATTGCTAGGTTTCGGGCTAGATCGAGGTCTGCAGCACACCACAGCCCTCTCTCGCTTCACACGCTGCGTGTTTGCAGTTGCATGGCTTGCGTGGGCTTGCTTCATCACTGCGTTACTCTCTCTCTCTCTCTCTCTCTCTCTCTCTCTCTCTCTCTCTCTCTCTCTCTCTCTCTCTCTCTCTCTCTCTCTCTCTCTCTCTCTCTCTCTCTCTCTTACTTTTTACACATTGTAACGAGCCTTTGTCCCTGCTATAACCGGTTGGGCTGCGATGAGGCCCGCCCTGTTATTGCCGATGACTTTTAATAGAGACAAAGAGTAGGAAAAAACGGGGATTTAAAAAACCGGATCCCTGTTATTACCGGGCCTGTTATATATGGTTTGCACTGTAACTTCTATATAGAGTCCCTGAAAACTGAAACTTTACTTATTTTGTGCCTTAAAACAAAGTTGTTCCGTTAAATTCCCCTGGAACTGTGTTTTCATTCGGACGTAACAGGTGTAGATCCAAAAAATGAAAATTTGATTTTAAAAAATTGCCAAACTGAAGGGAAACTGCAGGTTTCTTCGATTTCAGTATTTTGACGAGCGCCTCATTTCATTTCACCACGATGCCTCAATAGTATTTGTTTGTTTGTTTGTTTCGCAAATAACAGTGCATGCAAGGTACCCGAGAATTACAAAGTTATATTCGCTCAGTACCTAGTTTTGAGAAATTTGACATAAAAAACTTTGAGGTTTCACATGTCACAAGCTTTTTCGAATGCAATTTTTAAATATTATCTTGAAAACTCGGAATAATCTTACGGTTTTGATTGAACAAATAGAGCATTTGGTTTCTGACCTCATGGTCTTAGTAACTCAAAACGACACAAAATGTCAGACAGAACTGTGTAATTTTCTGAACTAGATACCCGTTGATCACGAGAGTGATTAGTCCTAGTTAGTGTGCTTGCAGTAACCTGGCCAGCCTGATCGCTGTTTGAGGACATGATAACATTTTCTGACACATTTCGGATAAGTTTCATCATCCTTGGTTGGTAATACTCGAGAGCTTGGGAGGTCAAGAAGCCCTCTTGAAAGTCGTTGTCACGTCGGAAATGAACTTGGTACAGAGATACAGAAAATTGTGGACACTTACAGGACAGCCAGAAATACATATCAAGCGTGATATTATTATCGTTATTATTATTATTATTATTATTATTATTTTTATTATTATTATTATTATTATTATTATTATTATTATTATCATTATTATTATTATTATTATTATTATTATTATTATTATTATTATTATTATTATCATTATTATTATTATTATTATTATTATTATTATTATTGTTGTTGTTGTTGTTGTTGTTGTTGTTGTTATTATCATCATTATTATCATCATCATCATCATCATCATCATCATCATCATCATCATCATCATCATCATCATCATCATCATCATCATCATCATCATCATCATCATCACCATCATTATCATCCTTAAAGCTTGTTAAAGGGGTTAGCTTCTGTAGTATCGTCTTAAAAGGAAAAAGAGAAGAAAAAAGGGGGTGGGGTTGAAAGGTACGTTAACCCCACACCATACACGTTGGCCGGTTTGGTTAAACGCCTCTCAAAACACTTTTTAAGGACGGCCCCCATTTTCTGTTTCGACCCTTCCATTAATGCCTCGCCGTATCGACAGGTTGATCTCCATAATTGCCAAAAGACTTTGAAATAACCCCCCCCCCCCAAAAAAAAAAAAAAAATATATATATATATATATAAAAAATACATATATTTTAAAAAATAATATAATAGGCATGGGTTGGGAAAAAGGTGAGGTATTAATTCTAACAGCAGGGGATACCCGTTAAGGAAGTTATTGTTGTGATGTTTCCCTCCCGTCTGTTTTGTTACCATTCAAACGCAATGTAGGCCAGGCCAAATCGACGTCATCAATAATTGCCTCTGTCACGGGAACAGCTGTAGCGACAGGAAGTGAATATCGTGACTTCACTTCACCTGTGATTCGTGTGCTGTCCTTGTACAAAAGCGACACCTGCTTCCGTTTTCCTCGATTTAGTTTTATTTCGTGAGATAGCCTATCCTGTTCTACCACGCCTCCCTTCTAAAAAAAACACAACAAAAAAAAGGAACCTTTAAAACACCCAGACACTTAATCAATATTTTTCAAAATACCGTTAAATGTCTTCAAATATTTCTGGAAAATTTGAAATTATAGGCTTATGTAAGAAGAATTTCAAAACAGATTGCATTAATTTGTGACTTTTCACATTTGACAATGTCACATCCCCTGCACAGGCAGATGACACATGGCATTGAAAATGTTTTTCACACACAAAACACACTTCAATGACTTTCTTTGAAGGCACTGTCAAACCTCCTCGAGACTTCAAAAACAAGGAAGTTACATTTGACCCCCTGGAGTCAACTATGACACCGATGCAGGTTTCATATTTTCAAATGCTTTGTCAACCTTAACACTACAACACCAGCAAGCTACAATATTCTCTGAACAAATGGACAAGTGTGCCTGCCTAGGCACACGCACGTGCAGTTATCATCATCGCAAACTGAATTATCTTCAATCTCTTTTATTCTGTTTTTACTGTGAGATGCATTTATAACTGAAACAGAAGGCACTTCGTCATCAAGTTCAGTGCCTTTGCTTGAGACTGATATTTTAAAAAACAGTTTTCGTAGGCCTAAGTGTTTTACGGCACTCGCAACTGCATAAAGTCATATGAGCGCGCGGGACACATTAAACATTTTCAGTTGGTAGGAAATTTTGACTTTTGCCAGGGTGGCGGCCGAACCTACTCTTTTTCATGTATCGATTTTAAGACCAGGGACTTTTAATGTGCGCAACTTACACTCGGGAACTCTGAGATTTTTTCCCCCTTGTCGGAGAAGGCTAGAGGTAGATCTTTCCTACCAGAAGATCAGGGATGTGGCTGAAAGACAGCAGTAAGGAGCCAAGGAGTAACAGTACAAAGGCTGCAGAAAGAGTCCGGAGCCCTGAGGAGGTGAGGAGGGGGCAGAAAGTGAAAACGAAAGCAGACGACAGAGAAAGAAGAAGAAAACACATTTTCCCCCGTCACTACTCGGATTCGAACCCAGGACCT